GCAGTCAAAGTGAGATACATGCATTATTATAAAATTAAAAAGGCTGGGAGGACATTGACTAATGGATTTGAGGAACTATCAAGAAGATTTAAAGAAAACAACTCTCCAACGATCAGCCTCTTTCAAAATAATGGGAACATAATAAACAATAGTATAAAAGTTAATAAGCAAAAGATAAAATGATTTAAAAAAAAGATTGTATTGGATAGGAATCTTAGAGCGGCCATTATGCCTAGTGAGTACTCTTAGTATTTCAGGAATATCGTGATTCCAATACTTCTGTAACTTTACTCAAGTAAGATTTCGAATGCATCACCTGTGACAGAGTATTTGCAATGTGTCACAATCTAGTAATGCTACTTTGACTTAAGTAAAGTACTTCTTCCACTGGTGGTTATTAGTGACAGAGATGTGACTTGTGTATGTGTGCAGCATTGAAAGAGAACAAAGCCCTCAGATAAAGGGGGAAAGGGAAAAAGACATGGAAGCTGTCTCCTGCCATGAGATTTAAGAGGTGGTTTAAGAGATGACACTCATTGTGCCGCTGTAAGCCCCTCAGGCGAGGGGAAGCCGAGGGGTCTGAACTGCAGGGTCTTGATCAACTCCGCTTTTTCTGCCTTAAGGGCCCTGCCAGACAATCCCTGGCTGCCCTCCAACTCATAAGGCATTAGGAGATCTGAGATGTGAGTGGGACACTGACAAAGCTGAGCCTTTAAGAGTAAATCCACAGTGAAAGATTTGAGGCTCAAACTGCCGCAGCTCGGCTCTCTTCGGGGGGAAACTTTCCAGCGTTTCTGGGCTCGCCTCAACCACCGAAGGTTTATTTCTTTAGATTGCTATTACCAATTAATTTTACAAGCTATGACGACAGTACTGAGGAGGAAAGCAGTCGATGTGCACTCTCTAGTGGTGGCATCACAAACAGCAATCTGTAGTAATATCTCTATTAACAGAGTTGTTTATAGTCCAGGTATGCACAGTTTTTGGAATAATAACCTCAAATTAGTTTCGTTAATAATAATAATAATAATAATAATAATAATAATAATAACTTCAAATGATATAGCTCCTTTAAAAAAAGCCAAGGACGCTTAAGAAACCCATGGACGCTTTCTTTCAGGTTTAAATGACTTTATTTATCTTTGCATCTTCTGTACATGAAGTAGAGGGATGTGCAAATTATAGTAAAACAAAAACAATAAAAAGGGTTGTATAGCATTCATTGGAACCATTTAATTTAGTAAAAAACACAACACATTTTGAATTTTGTTCTTATTATTATCATTTGTTTAATACTGTGGAACACTCACCTTGGATTGTCGGACAAAAAACTCCTTGAGAATGAATTAAAAATACGTTTTTAACCTTAAACCTTGGAAATATGGATTTTAATATGGGCTAACTTGACTTGTGACATTTTGTTGTTGTTGTGTTGTGATTCAACTGTTGCTATTTCTCTCAACATTGCTATGCATTGTTATTTTCTTATCTTTTCTTGTTTCGTAAAGCATTAATAGACACTATGGTGGATAGTGTATGTATAATGTTCATAAACACATACAAAGAAAGATACATGTTGTTCTGTAAGGCATTATTTTCTTTTATAGCTGATCTTTATTCTTTAAAGCTTTTGTGGTTTCACATGTAACACTACTTTAACTAAATGCAGCATACAGTTCTTCTGACTCGGGCTGGACTTTAAGCTTTTCAAGGCACTTGCCTATTAGACACTTCGGTCTGTTAAATGTGTATTGTGTCGTGATAAAGGCATCTACCAAGAGCAATGCTGGTGTGCTAGTAAAAACAGATGTACAACTATTTATATTGTCCTAACTGGTGCAAGTTTCCTTGGTTGCTTTAATATGCTCTGAATTTTATTTGGACAAATAAAATTCCCTCCTTCCCTCTCACGTTGTTGGCACTGTGAGCAATGTGTATTCCAGTCAACCTGAGGTTTACAACATCACACTTATCACCTGCAGGTGTGAAGAATATCAAAACAGGTTTATTTTTCATGATGTTTCATGTTTGCATCTGCAGATGTGATCAGCTGATGCTGCTGTTTCCTGTTGATACTGTATTTAGTTTGAACGTGCGTCTTACAGCTACAGCATTACATTACAGTGCGGTGCAGATATGATGTATGTTTGTAGAAAGACCCGGAGGGTATCATAGCCAAGGCCTCTCTCCCTGGGATATTTCCACACATTTATGATAGTCTCCACATATTAACACCACTTTTATAATAATAGTTGAAGCTAAAATACAACTGCCAGAAGTAAAAGCTAATGTTAGGCTATAAACAAACTACATCGCGGTAGCATGGCTGTGCCTCTTCTAAGCTAAAGGTGGCTAATGTTCCTTGGGATGACATTTAGAAATCTTTTTTAAGACACTTGTTAGCAACCGCACATTTTTAAACATGTTAAAGCTTCAGGCATTCACGAGTGAGGCATTCACTAACGCATTTTATATCATGGAACAAAACTGGAAATCTTGTGAGCTTGAATTAACCACAGACCTTATTTCAGATATCTAACCAAAACCTAATTCTTAACTAAAACCTAATTTATATATCTTATTTGATCTTTTATTGCACATTCTTACTTTTATTATATAGTACATTATATTTGTATTAGTTATTTTATTCATTCTATAAAGGAGCAACTGTCACAAAAACCAGCTTTCCCCTGATTATGTAAGTATTATTATACTATATTATTAATTCTGATTAATTAGACATTGACTACGAGGAACCCTGGAAGTGCTGAAATGCTAACTCATTTCTGGGTTTTAGGACTCATTCCTGCACCATTCTATTGGCTGGGACTAGATTAAGGATGCGTTGCATGATGGAAAATGTGAGTTTAATTCTCACAGTAATTGTATATGAGTCACTGCTACCACCAGAGGGTGACTCAGTACTTCCCCTGAGATTATGCAACCGGTGTACAGAAGCTGACACTCTGCTACGTGTGCAGTGGCAGGCTGTGGCAGGCTGGGGATTTGTTCCCGAACTGATGTGTACACTGGGTTCACCCTTAGAGGAAAAAAACCTTTTATCAGGATGACATTACTGTCAGTCTGCAACTGAAATGAAATGGACCACTGCTTGAATTTTAAACATAATAGCTGATAAAGTAAGTGAGGAATTAAATGATCAACAAACTTAGAGTGGCGCAGCTACACTGAACAAAAATATAAACGCAACACTTTTGTTTTTGCTCCCATTTTTCATGAGATGAACTCAAAGATCTAAAACATTTTCTATATACACAAAATAACCATTTCTCTCAAATATTGTTCACAAATCTGAAAATATCTGTGATAGTGAGCACTTCTCCTTTGCCGAGATAATCCATCCCACCTCACAGGTGTGGCATATCAAGATGCTGATTAGACAGCATGATTATTGCACAGGTGTGCCTTAGGCTGGCCACAAAAAAAGGCCACTCTGAAACGTGCATTTTTTGCTTTTATTGGGGGTCTGGGGGG